TGGTAAATGCAAAAATTTAGGGGAAAAAACAAATCAATAAATATTTAAGTGAAAGAAGAGTAGAGGGATGCTTGTTTGGTTAAGTTTTTTTTTTCTTTTTTTTTTTTTGGTTAGCAATAAAATAACTTTATTATGATAATATAGGGGTGTCCCAACCCGTACGGTCAATACATAATAAAATAAATAGAAATAGATTCCTCCACGCCTAATGAATCAAAACGACAAAGTTCAGTTTGGTTAATTTTAGGGCTGTTTTCGTTGTAGTTTAACTTTTTTAATAGAAAAAAAAATTCTTGCAAAATGAACAAAAGATACTCTAACATAGTTCAAACAGAATATAAATAAATGAATAAAAAAGAAGCACAAAATCGAATTACAACCATACTAAAAAGGCAAACTCCATTGCCAATATTACTAAATGTATAATACAATAAACTAGCATTCCAAATAAATAATAATAATAAGCTCAAGCACTCATATATAAAAGGATAACTGACAAGACATGCACATACATATACACATGCGCATATACATAGAGACATGAATCAAACTACATCATGAAATCCAGTTGCAAATTGAGTTCCAAGACCGAACCAATTCATCAACAACCAAACGATAGTGATAAGTTGTCCACCTCTACTTGGTTGCTGTGCATGCACATTTGCCCTACAATTGACAGCAGCATAGCACATCAATTCAACCCAAACTTTGCTCATTAACTCCCACGGAAATCCATTCGATTTGTCCAATTCCTTCAACTGGTGGGCAAGTTTACGCGCATAAAGAAAAACAGGTTTTCTTCCAATTGGAGACACGAAGTCAAGCTCTGGATTTAACGCAAAGATTGCTCTGGAGACATTTTTCCCATCCAAACAGGATTGACCATTGATGAAACCTTTTATCTGGTCATATGTTGCTTCACGTACCACTTTCCGATCCATGGACACGGTGGCCATTGCAGCAGGCTCCATCTCCAGAAGGTAAAACATATAATCTGAGAGTGACTTGGATATTTCTCTGTAATCCATATTGTCAGAAGAATTACCGTCCTTGTCATGAAAGCAGAAGTCGGTGGCTATGTGCCACGTTACAAGGCTTTCTGTGTAATCTAACTCCTTGATGCTCCAGATGACATCCCTAAACTTTTCGTCGTTGTCAAGAATTCCATTACCTCTTCTTAGACAAATTTCCTTGCCCATTTCAACCGTCTTTGCAGACACAGCCATAGTCTTCACTTGTTCAAAAATGAAGTTCCACACTTGCTCGTTCAACTCTTGTGACGACAGGCATAGCTTCTTTTTAATGGCCTCTAAAAATGTCCTTAAGTAAAGCAAATCAGCAAATTTGATCAACCAATCTGGATAGTCATTGAGACAATAGGTTATCAAGTTGTGCTGGGGGATTATTTTGGACCACCTACGCCTGTTGATGACCCTGTTATGAATCCATGCCACAATTTTGACATTGGTACTCCCTCTCAAACAATAATAAGCTAGATTAAAATCGGAAAGAATAAGCGTTCCGATGGATATGAAATCCAATGTTATGGCCCCGATCAGCAAACCATAGGTTATCCAGATATCAACATGTCTCAACTTGGGGTGTTGGGGAATTAATCTGAATGACAACAAGGCTCCGAAAATGCAACTCAAACTAATTAACCGGAAAATGTATCCAATCTTGATATGAACCACTGGCAACTTGGTGTGAAGAGCTTCATACAAGAGGCTTAGCTCAATCTCCATCATCTGGAGGACTTGTTCTGGGCATTTTCCATCCAAGACTTGTCTGCTGGAAATGCGGTACTTTGGAGTTAGAAGAGGCCCAACGAGTAGATTCTTGATAATGCCATAGGCCGCTACTAATTCCTTTCTTGTCCCACGTTGAAAAGAATCTTCTACTTCTCGCTGGTAAATGGAAGCCCTTCCCTTATCTCCATAATGCTCTAAACTTGCAAGGTAAAAAGCACGGCTTCGCTCTGCATATTTGATTATTCCAGCAACTAACACCAGGAGAGCTGGGAACAAAAGCTTGTTGTGTGGGGGTGAATGAAGGATAACATAGGCAGTGGAAGCAATCTGTAACACAAGCCCAAGCAAGTGTCTAATCCAGAACTCATTATCCTCCAAAGAGAATGAAGTAATTGTGTCAGGGCCACCAAGATGCAACAAAAGAAAAGGTGCCCAAAAGACTAAGATGAAACTTCTTTCAGAACGTAAAATGAGTCCAATAGTAAATGTAGCAACCCAGTCTGCAAGGAAGTATGCGAACCACATCGAAGTCATGAAGACCCATTTTCCCCCCTTCTGTTTCCTTAAAGGTGCAAACAGAACTAAGAAACACTGGACCAAGAGGCTCAGAATAATCAATCCTCTGATATTCCATGAAGCCCATAGCTTCATGAGGATGTCAGCAATTGAGGACATTTTCTCTAGACTAATGGCAACCGTTTCAGACCTGATATCCTACAACAATAGATTTCAGTTTCAATGTTTGAGAATGAAAACTTATATAATAGATTTTACGATCTTTTATGATGCCCTTGGGCCGTGGATTCTTACCTTTACGCCAAGAAAAATAGATTTTATGATCTAAAACTCCCCCAATTAATTAGACTTTATAAACTGTTTTTTCTCTTTAGAGTTAAGTCAACTCACATTGGTGTAAGGTCAAGAAATTCTTACGCTAGTTTTCAGTTATATAGTTTAAAAATTATGAGGTCGTTTTGAAAATTCTAAGCGTTGCATTAATGGTTGAAATTTTAATGAATGATTAAGAATTAATAGAACATATACACCAATATAAATTTATTCTAATCAACTCCAATATGGTGATTCAATGGTTAAGAACTTAAACTTTTAAATTAAAGATTTCAATTTCGAGTCTTGAGTTGGATAAAGAAAGACTTAGGAAGATGAGAAGATTATCCCTTTTTATATAACCTATTTAAATGTATTAAAAAAATTATTCTAACCATTTTTTTTAGTTAAAACCTTGTAGAAATCAGTCAGTCCATGAGGCTTCAAAGTGGTTTTTTAAAAAAATTAATAATTAGGGTGAGTGGTTTAAACCAATTGTTAGGTGGAATGCCCACAGTAGAAGTGAGATAATGTTCTGACTTAGGTTTTGTTTGATAATATCTTTCACAAGTCTCTTTCACACAACATATTATTTAAAAACATAATTAATTATTTTTAATTAATTTTAATTATTTTTTATATATTTTTATTAATTTTAATTAATATTTTATATATTTTTAAGATATTAAAAGATAAAAAATAAAAAACCCTACAACTACAATCACAGTGCAACACTACTAAACTAAGCTTCAAACTTTGTTAACACATACTTTTTTTATACAACATCTTATCTAAAATTTAAATTTATTATTTTTAATTAATTTTAATTAATTTTTTTATATATTTTTACTACTTTTAATTAGGTTAAAAGTCATTTTTAAGCTATGAACTTTCACTTTTGAACATTTTAGTCTTTAAACGATTTTTTACACTTTTTTCATCCCAAACTATAAAAAATGCATTTTTTTTAATTATTCTATCAATTAATTCATTAAATTTATTCATATATGTATGAATTTAGAGACTAAAAATGTGCATATATGATAAGTTTAAGAACTAAAAATGTGTATATACTAACAAACTTAATGGATTAATTGATGAAATAACTAAAAAAATGCATTTTTCATAATTTAGAGATCAAAAATATATAAAAAATAGTTTAAGAACTAAAGATATTCAAAATTAAAAGTTTAAGTACTAAAAATGACATTTAATCTTTTAATTAATATTTAATACTAGCTCCGTTCAACTTTA